AATAATTTTTTCTAGAGATTTCAAACTGTTTTTTAACATAAAATAGAACAAAACTTTATAAAAATATTTATTTTAAATTTATTATGCTTAGTTAAAATATTATGAGGGTAATTATAAATTGTGCCAAAATTTTGTACAAAATGTTTTTTTTAAAAAAAAAAATTGAACTCTAAATGGAAACCCATTAAGAACGAATCTTGCATTTATGCAATTCATATACATAAAAAATAGATATATATTCCTACAGAATTATAAGTTTTAATATCTATTGGTTCTTGTGATATGATAATAAAAAATAACGATTTTTTATTTTGAATAGGAGTGTTCCGATACCACTTTTTGTAGTCAGTCCCGATCCGATATTAAATTAATATCGGCCGATTACCAATCCTATATCATATCTAATTTTGTATTATTTTGTAAAGATACCAAGAGTTTTAATTTTTATTATACTTTTTATTAGTATAACATCTATAATCTAACTTTACCATAACTTATGTCATTTAAATATATTATAATGATCAGTGATAATTTATATTCAATTCTAAAAGTATATAAAATATTTTTATTGAAATTACTTATATAATAAGTAATAACATTAATCTATATACATAATAAGAAATAAACAAATATATTATAAAATTTGAAATAAATATTTTAAATAATATTTAACATTAATATATCGAAGATTTCTTTTTAGAAATACCAAAATTTCTAATTTATCAGAGGTCAGCCTGCGGCAATGGTAAGTCAATATCACCAGCTTCACTAAAAACAGATTCTGAAGATATTATCGCACACTTTTAAACCTAGGTATTTTTAAAAAAATCTATAAGCCTAAGCTAATAATTAAATTATGTTAATCATTAGATTTAGATTTTGGGATAAGTAATTTTTAATTCCTTTGTAACATTTTATAACAATCTTTATTTTCAAAAAACTTAATCATCTACACATGAATCAACAATCTTTATCAGAATCTAATCGGAATTTATATTTTTAACTACATGTTTTCACATTTGGGCTACTGGATATAGAGGTGGAAATATTTGAGTTAAGGAACAACGCCCAGGCTTGCCCATCTAAGTAAAGGAGCGGTCGGGAGGTAAAAGTAAAATATTTAAAATTAAAAGATTTACAACTTTTATTGTTTAAAATCAATCATTTACATAAATATTTTAAAAAAAGCTTCATGAAATTTCAACATTTTTAATACCAATCGTTATCTGAGGATGTATTGATATCAAAAACATGTATTTGCATGGAAGATCAACGTGGTGAAAATCCGATTTTACACGTTTCTCCAAAAGCAAAGAGAATTCAATTAAAGTTATTAAATTATAAATGCAATGCTTAAAATAGATAGAATTCACGTCAAAATTAAACAACAATAGATAGGAAGATATGGCTGTTACAGAGGAGACCATATTATCTAAAAATATTTAAATCTTAAAGTAGCGAGTTATTTTATAATTTAGCAAGATTTTAGGCTACTAAGTTTAGTTTAAGTTTACCATTAATTAACAATTAATTTTTCTATTTATTATTAATGGTTTAACTTTATTTAAATATTTCAAATAAGTAGAGGATATACCTCAAACATATTATACTTTGGTGGAAACGATAAGAATATTTATAGAGGCTATCAAGATTAACCAGTGCTTCTTCTGAACGAGAAATTAACATTGCTGGATGGTTTATAGAACAAAAAAGGAAGGTGCGCGAATCCATAAAATGTGGATTCATTATTATTGTAACATTATAATTAGTAATAATATCAATATTAAAACATTTTTTATATAATGGAAAGGGTAAAATTTTTTAGACTAATAGGCCGGTGGGTATATTTTTTAAAAACTATATGAGGAATGAACTTTTTTTTAAATATTCGCCGGGCGGGCTTGTAAGCTAAAAACTTGCCCATTGCAAACCTATAAGATAAACACTTGCAAAGTATAGACTTAGTGCCGTTTATTTTCTTTATTTATGTATAAACTGTTTCATAATTAGGCCTGTATATATTTTTTAAATAAATAATTTTAGAGACCTAAAGTTTTTACAACAAAAATTTATTAATTAATATAAATTTTAATATTAAATGTTTATTAACAAAATATTAATTACTATTATTTAATTAAATGTTAAATTTTAATCAAAAAGCATATTGGTTTTTACCTTTTTGATAGCTTTAAATAAAATTAATTCCTATCTATTTTTCTTTCCTTTTAATTGCTTGCTTTTCAACAGCCCAAAAATTCTTGCATTGAAAAATAATCAAATGATAAAGAAAATCTGGGAAAACGCTCCTTTATTTCGTTTTGTTATCTATATATATATCTACTACAAAATAAATATTAATAGATTAATATTAATAATTAATCTAAAAATAGCAATTTTTACATAAATCCTTTTTAATAATATATTAAAAGAATGAATGCGCCAAAAAAATAAAAAAATATATTAATCCCTAAAAAAAAATATGATTTTGCTTATCATAAAAAATGACTCCACACTTTACATAAAATAATGATATACATAACAAGAGAGTATACATTAAAATACACTGATTGATTCAATAATTAGACTAAAAATCTTGACTGTATATAATTCAACATCAAAAATGTAATAAATAATAAAATAAAAATGAAGAATTTTGGGTTGATCTGAATTAAAAACTAGATTTAAATTATTTATAAAAATATTATATAATTTTATGAAAAAAAAGTAACGAGTAACGACTCAAATAAAAAAAAGTTCTATTCGATACTATATGCAAATCGCTCCAGACCGATTTAGCTACTCAATATTAAACCCAGAAAATATTGTCTAAGCCTCGAAATTTGCTAATATAGATATCAATATCTTCAGGTTTGCGTATTATTTTTCTGGATAAAATACTGAGTTCGCCGTTTTTAAAAATTGGCGTAAATGGAGTGATTTTGGACCACTAATCGTTTCTTTACCCTTTGAAACACGGTTTGCCGTTCCTTTTCCTCAAAAAAATGTAACTCCGTTAGTAAGGGAATTTTTTTCATTTACGTTATTTTACAGCACTAATTTTTTTCATATATTGTTTTATTTATATAAATATAATATGCTAACATTTATAAAACATGTTCTAGCTAAAATAAAAATATAATATTTTAAAAAAAATGTATTCTTTTTTTTATTTATATTAAAATTATATATTAATAGAAAATTTTGCCCAAACTTGATTATTAAAAACCGCCATATTAGTGATTTTAAATATATGGCAAATAATTTTAGTAATAACCCTCGTGATTTCACAAAAATATGGTAGAAAAGTTGACCATCTTTTAGAAAATTCCTGGCTTCGATAATATACTTCGCTAAAACTTAGATTTCGCCGTTTTTAGTAAGCTATATCAAGGGTTTTATTAATAATATATACTGACCAATAACATACAAAATAAGATTTTTTTTAAAAAAATTTGACAATATATAGTAAAGATCAAAAAAAAAATTATTTATCTTTTAAAATTAGGGATGTACCGATATTTCAGCCATTTTAAAATATCGGCTATCGGCCAATATTTTAAAATTTTCCGATCTAAAAAATGGCGTTTTTAACAAAAATAAAATGTTATAAAATTAAAAAAATTTTTTTTTATCTAAAATCTTTTATTTTTATAAATAAAAATCGAAATACATTTTTATGTTTATTTTTTTAACAATAATAATTAATTAATAAATATTCTGAATTATAAACATTAACTAGCTTAGAGGAAAAAAAGCAGAAGGGTTGAAGTCAGAATATGAAAAAATGATATAAAAAGAATCATTGAGAGAGTTTATTATACTGTAGTTTTATTTCTCTTTTCTAAATATTTAAAAAATGTGTATATGATATATATTTATAGATTTTTTTATAAAAATATTAACATAAATCTTTCATAATTACATATAATTTTTGTTTATATTTGTTGCAAAACTTTATAAAGATTCAAATTTATTATGTACAAATATATCAATTTTCGGATGTATATAATTTTGTAAAAATAAAAATGCCCTCACAAAACGAGAGCATGATAATGAAGCCATGACAGACATGACATAGTGAAGACATCGGGAAAATATTATATATAGAAAATTAAAATCCATTTTTAAACGTATTTGTATTTATATTCAAATACATTTTTTAAATAAAGTAAGTGTATTTCTATTTTATATTTGAATATATATATTTTTAAAATTTACCCAGTCCTGATCATGGTTACTCAATGATATGTATTTTAATGTTGGATATGCAATTCATGCATTAAATATATTTAAATGTCTATGCAGAGAGTCAGCAGCGCTATTACATGGTTTGTAATTCAATCGATAAGACATTTAGGTGAAACAAAAACTACAAAATGCGGTGACTCCTATGTATGCACCTTTTTAATTAATAAATCGACAATCAGGTGTATATAAATCAACATGACGGGGGTCAATGTCATTGGATTAGATATCGCCCTAAAAACTAAAAGTCTCTGCTTATAACAATATAGTAAGATTAGTTTTTAAATTTTGAAAATGAGTTACAAGTGTAACCGAACCGATATGCTTCCACTGATCTGCTATTTCTTACAATATAATATAAGGAATTTTAATTACAAAAGTGAAGAAAGAAGGAAGGACGTCCTTGGAGAAAAAGTAAAAATATTATTTTATCTCCTTTTATATTCTCTTTTTCATAAGGTATATATAAAATTTTTACAAATTAAAATTAGAATATAATATTAAAAAGGTTAAGTTATAAAAATAAAAGTATTACTAAAATAAAAATATAATTTGAATAAGTTAAATGAATGAGCATTACATAATAAACAAATACTATTTAATAACCAAAATATAATATATTAATTTATTAGTTTCTATAATATAACAAAAAGTATTGATGATATGGTGTTTTTGAATTTTATAACAAACCATCTATTTCTACCTTTCTTTTATTAATTTTTTTAGTCATATAAAGTTCCTAACACATATCTTATTATGAGTTCAACCTATTCAATTTAAAAAATTTTAATTAAACGTTTAGGTTTATGGGTGAAGAAACATTAACTAAAGATGAATTGACTACAATATTCAAATCATTGAAAAAAATTCCTTCCAATAAAGTTTTATATTTATTAATATATCTAAAATTTATTTTTCGTTAATAGCAATGTTTTGACTGTGGTAGTACTAATCCATCATGGTGCAGTGTAACATATGGAATATTCTTGTGTATAGATTGCTCGGCCGTTCATAGGTCATTAGGTGTCCATGTATCATTTGTAAGATCATCTCAGCTAGATACGAATTGGACATGGACTCAGATCAGATCTATGCAAGTTGGAGGAAATGCTAATGCTGTAAATCTTAAAAAATAACATTAAAATTATATCTAAATTTTAAAAGGCTGCCTTTTTTAATCAACATAACTGTACTATATCTGATGCCAAAATAAAATACCAAAGCAGAGTTGCAAATCTTTACAGACAAAAGATTAATAGTCAGGCTGAAAAAGCAATGGAGCAATATGGGACTCAAGTTTAATTTTTACACTTAGATTGTTTTTATATATTTTTATTAGCTGCTTATTAATCAAACAATCAAAAATGATCAAAAAAATGATGGCAAAGAAGATGACTTTTTTAGCATTTTGAAAGATGACAATTTAGATGATAAGGACATATATAACTCTGAATTTAAACAAAAAAGTAATAAAATTAATTTAACATTTAATTTATCACAATAAAATCTTTTTATAACAAATTTAATATAACATTGTTAAGATTAAAAAAAATTAATATGTTTTTTGTAAATTATCAAAAATACAATTTAGCTGAAAACAATTTCTCTGGGGATCCATCTTTATTTACATCTTCATTATCATCAGAAAATGGGTTGACAGTCAAAAAATCAACATTTAATTCTAAAAAGGTTATTAATTAATTAATATATGAATCGAATATAGATTTTTAAAAAATTTATATAAAAATTAAAAGACTATTTATTAGAAAGAGACTCTCCTATCCTCATTGGAAGGAATTATAATGATAAGGCTGAGTTTTTAATGTACTTAATTATTTGCAAAAACAATTTATTTTTAATTTATATCTTTTAACATTGACACCAATCATCATTATAAAATTATAAGCTTAATTTTTATAGATATAAATGATAAAAGAAACAAATAAGAAATAACTTAATTTTTTTACTTGGAAAATTAAAGTACATCAAGGACTCTTCATAAAACTCAAATAAGTGTGGACTAAATAATATCTACTGCCTGGTTATTATGGCTGCAGAGAATCAAGGGCAATCTAGTTCATTTTTTTCCATCAACAACCAAATTGAACCATTGGTCACATTTTAAAGTCTAAACTACTATGGTGGACTGATTTTTATTTTGGTTTTAATTACCTATATAAAACAGAAGGGAAATAAATAAATGCAAAACATTTGATACCTTTATTTTTACTCCAATTGCCACATTCATCACCTATTTTTTTAAAAAATTTTGGCTCATAAAATATGAATCCACATATTGGAGGCCAAAGAATTCCTTTTCTAAAGACAAAAGAATACAAAATAAAAATATTTAAATGTAAGCACTTTTTAGGGAGTGCACCCCCAAATTTTTAATATGGTTTTGTAATTTTAATCTTTTTTTAAATAAATAGTATATATATGTATAGTCTTTAACTGTTGAAGTGTATTTTTGAAATAGAAATAAAAATAATTTCGTAGTTTTTTAAAAGAAATATATATAAATCAAAATACCATTAAACTCTAAAATTTAAATAATTTTGCTTATTTCTGAATATGGAAATAATAAAAATTACTATAATATGATCCATCCGCTTCATTGAGATCAGCTTTAAAAATGATATTAGATATTACCTTATTGCTAAGTTGCTTGCTTTGAAATTGTTCATAAAGAACTAAGTTGTTTGAATGACTAATTAATATCTACTTAGTAAAAAATGGGTCCTATTATTATTATAAAATGTAAAAACAAGCAGTTGTTTTAAAATAGGTTAACTAAGTTAACTAATGTGGTTTTTATATAGATTCTCGAAATACTTCACAAATAGATATAAACTTACATCGATTTAGCATTTTCAATATCTAGCTATATCTCGTCCACCTAGAATTGGAGTGCTCCACTTGTTCATATGTTTAAAATGAGAATATCAACATTAATGTTAAAATCAAATGTAGGAAAAACTTATTGATCAATTTTAACAGAGCTATAACTTTGACCAAAATTATTATTTTTTTTAATCTAGTTTTTATTTTTATATACACTGGGAATAAATAAGTTATTATCCACTTCTAACTCAAAAATTTTGAAAATGTCGAGTAGAGCACTCCAATTCTTGACCGACGATCTATTAAGAGTAAATAATGTATTGATGAAGACAATAATTTAAAAGTTCAAATGAGATTGAGTAGATTTTGTATATAAATAGAACTTGGATAAATATGTTTAAAAAAATTTATTTTTTAAAATCCAGTCTGAACCATGGACCGATTTTAAAGACCAACACCCATAATTATTCATTCCAAACCCAAAAACCCAACCGTTAACATTCACTCTTTGCAATTAAGATGAAAATCCTATAGTTTTTTTTAAGTGGAAATGATACATTCAGTCTGTGCCCCAAACAAAAGACATAGCATTTCATTAAACTATAAAAGATTTTAAGGAAAGAAGAAAAAAAAATTATTATTAAAATAAAAAATATTAACCCCAATCATCGATTTATATTAGGCAAACGTCACGGGGAAAAAAACGTTTTCTACTCAAAAGTTGGGCAACACCGTCGATTTCTCTGAAATGGAAAAGAAGGCCCAAATTTATGATTCCACCAGGGTTAAGATGGCGGAAAAGATTGCGGGGGATGCCAAGGCAGCTAAAGAACTCTCCGAACAATGCGAAGAAGATGAATCTAAAAAAATGTTAATTTTTATTTATTTATATAAGAGACCTGCAGGGCCGGGCGGTATTTTAATATTTAAATATATCCGGGCCGGGCCATTTTGACCAAATTAATGAAAGTGGTTGTTCTTAGTGTTGTTAAACTATCTAACTTTAGTAAACTTTAAAAGAGTGTAACCATGTTTTTATTCAAAAATATTCTAATCAATCTTCAAGTTGGGACTCACCTTAGAGGCTTAATTCAATATTTTAGGCTAAAAGCTTGATTAAGCTAAAATAGAGATGGTCAAAGTTTAGGTAATTTAACAACACTAGCTGTTCTTTAAATCGATTATATCAAATTTAATAGAAGCGTCTATAGAAGTCTAAACATTTCTGCCATCCATATAAAACAAAATTTGATTGGGCTCTATAAATAAATGATCAGATCCTGGTATTTTTATTTATCTACACAAATTCTAAATGATACCTTTTAATGTTTCCCGAATCCTTTAATTTTCTATTGTTTATATATATGAAGGAATAACCACGTACTTTTTGCTAGCTCTTTCCTTATGTAAATGTGTAGGCACTATTTCCTCGGAGTCCGAGTTGGGGTGGGGGGGGGGTCATGTCTATTATCAAAGACAGTGTCTGTTCAGAGATATTAGAAATTTTTTTTTAAAAAAAGGTATAAGTTATTTAAATTAAGGTAATTTAAATATTATTATTTTTTTGACGATTCTTATTTCATTTTTTTTTATGTCAAGAATCATGGATATATTGGATATTCATCAGTTTGAATATTTTATTATTTTTTTTGAGATATTTTGATAACTTAATTTTGTTTTCTTTTGTCTTTCCGTTTATTATATAAATATCAGAGACCCACAGGTTCGGCCCTAAGCCTGGCCCAGGTACCCACGCTGGGCCGTATTTTAAATTTTAAAAAAACCTGAGCCGGGCCTTAATTTTTTTTTTGATATTAACTTTATTTATATCAATTTATATTAACTGTACATTCATATTTTTGATAGTTTGCCTAAATCTGTTGCAACTAAAAATGATATGATAAAAAAAATTTTTAACGCGTTGATTTTTTAATATATTATATTATATATATTATATACAATATTTTTATTGAATATAAAAAATCCGTGTATAAATGGATTTTGAGGTACTTGAAAATATTTAATATAGAATCTGGACTTGGGATTAGGTACAACAGATGCACCAATCAAAAATCTGGAATCCCCTATTAATCCTCTGACCCAACACAAAAAAAGTGATCACCTATACCCATCCGTCTAGATTCCGCAATATATCTTGCATCTTTATTCGAGATTTTTCTATCACCCGAAATAATATCTTCCTTTTTTATTTTTCACTATCCAGGACTTCCTTGCGATTAGCTTACAACGATCTGAGCTTGCAGAGCAAAGCGAGCGACGAAAAAATCAAAAATCTTTCAGCTCAAAAGGCTAAACAATACGAGAGATTGGGTATGGGAAAGGAAAGCAATACCAAAAAGTTGGTTTTTCAAATGAATAAAATTAGCTCCTTTTTTACAATTAGAATGGTTTAACTGCCATTTACGAGAAGAAAAAAAGAAGGTGTTTAGAATAATGCATTCTTTGGATGTATAAGGAAACGAAAGTTAAAGATTAGTATTACTTTACTTTTTTAAATAAAAATATATATATATATATACGGTTATAATTAATATTTATTGATTAAGGGGAATCAGCCATTTTGCCTCTAAAGATATGGTGAACATCGAACAATTGGGCGTTGACAAAGACGACAGTGACAACCTCAGAACCACGAAGAATGCTAATAAAACAACCGGAAGTGCTGCTACACGAGATTTGGACAAATTCTTTGACAAGTCTTTTTTTTCCCTTGTTTCCTTCTTTCTATATAAATTTTTTTTTTTTATTAATTCTCAATTTTAATTTAATTTTTTTAAAAAAAATTAACATTAGATACGGGTTAGACGACGATTACCAAGACGCGGAAGACGACTGGTCTTCTAGCGGCAAAAAAAACGGGAAAAAGGCGGGGAGCCGAATTTTCGATGGTATTAAGCCCTACAGCGAAAGTACTAAAGATGTGGACATGGATAAATATAAGACGAAAAAGGGACAAAATTATGAGTATGAAATTAGTTAACATCGTATAATTTTTTTAAAAAAAACCAATGACATGTATAATACCTAGACTGACGATTCATTCAAGTTGTACATCAATCAAATCAGCTGGGGACGCCATATTGGTTACAGTAATCATTATTAAAATTAATAACATCAATCTGGATCATAAAATTAGGATAATATATATTTGTTGTTTTAATTTTAAAAATTAGAAAATACATAGTAGTTTTTAACTTGAGAATAATTATCATAAGGGTTACCAAAATGGCGAGTCCAGCTGATTTGCTAACGACGCTTTTACATGCATTATAATGAATGAATCGCCAGTCTAGGTATTATTATATGTCATTGAAAAAAACATACACAATAAGGGAAGGAAAGGAAATGAGAACATTCTTAGATTAAATAATATCCAACCATGTTAAAAGTGAGGGCCCTTAACTCCAAAAAATATGGTTCATACTTCCGGTTCTATATATTAGACAAGTTTAATGTGGAACATGAGGAGATGTATAATGATTAGGCCTATTCAAAAATAATTCGAATTCGAATCTAATCGAATAATTACGAATACGAATAACAAATTATTTGTTTTATCTGAATACGAATACTCATTTATTCGATTCGAATAAAACGAATTATTCGTAATATTTAATAAATTGTTTAATAAATCTAACATTTGTCATTTCTATTTGTTGACCTGCCAATCGGAGAGGTGATGTGTTTGTGTTTATAAAAATTCTAGCACAAATTTAAAAATTTCGAAGTGAAATTTAAATTTTTATTTGCCACATTTTTTGAATCTCACGAAAAGTTTATTTTTTGAATCTCATAATAAATTATATTAAAAATTACACAAACCAGAGGTACATAAAAATATATTACATTTCTACAATAATTATTGTTAGCTAGCCTAATTATGTTAGAGGAGATTGCTTCTGATGAAATTATGCTTGATGTTGAAGATGAGAAAATTTCCTCACAAAAGAGAGCAATCATATGGGATCAATATCAAATCCTTAAAGATAGTGAAAAGGCTGCTTGCAATCATTGCAAGAGTATTATAAAATGTAAAGGCAAAACAACATCTCCTCTTATTAATCATTATAATAGGTTTCATTTACACCCTAGTAAAAAAAATAATAAAATTGACATTTTTTTAAAGTCTACACCAAATTCTTCAAAAAAAAATTAATTTTAAGGATAATTTATTAAAATTATTTATAAATCATAATATTCCTTTTATTTATTTTATTAAAAAATTAATTCGAATTATTCGAAATATTCGAATCGAATACAAATAGTAGATTTTATTGTTCGTACGAATTTAAATAGTAAATTATTCGATTCGTTTAAACCAATTGAATATGAATAATGCACTATTCGATTCGAATTCGTTTTTGAATAGGCCTAATAATGATATGAATTGATAAGATACTTTATATAAATCTTATTTGACACGCGATTTATTTCTATCCTTCAGTAAGGATACCAAGGACGAAACCAACGCGGCTAGAACCCAATTTTCTAACGCCAAATCAATATCCTCCGATCAATATTTCAACAAACATACCAGGGACGAGGTATATAATAATAATAATACGTATATGTTGACACCATTTTTATTATGAAAACTTAATGTTTCACACTAACAATAATTTCAAATATTGTTGCTAAAACTTATCATTTTTATATATTTATATTTCATATTGTTTATGAATGACCAATTTTAAGTAGCGTTTATCATCTCAAAATTTTATATCCAATTTGATGGAATGATTAATAGTTAAATAAGTAGAAGAAAAGGGGGGGGGGCTGAGTCATTTGCCAAATCTATAAATGATTCCGTCAAATCTCGATTTTTCCTAAATTCGGCGTGCAGATAAAGGTTAATTCCACGACAAATCAATGCTTCGGACGACCATTTTAAAAATAGATGAAAACTTGGTATGATGATTCCTATATAAAAAATTAAAATTAGAATATTCTTAGCTCTAGAATTGAAGTTGGCGCCAATCTTAGTTTTAATGATCCTCAATTGCCAGATAAATATTTAGTCTGAAGTCACAAATTATATATTATTTTATAGCCCCCTTCAAATTTCTCATTAAGAAAATACTAAAATTAAAATTAAAATACTTATTCGAGATAGGTCACATTCGAAATCAGGGGGTTGTCACTAGCCTTTACAACCTCAGGGTCTCAAAATAATTTTTGAAAATGATTTTTAAAACTCTTTTTTTTAAGCTAACATTATCAAAATTACATTTATTTTTAAAAATTTTAAAATTTCAAGGAGGTTCTTAAAATTATCTAAGCTACCCTTCCCAAATATATTTATTTACCCATATATTTATAGCAAAAAAAGGTTAAGCTTTAGCTAATTGAAATTACTTTTCATAAGTAACTTTATAAAATTATTTAAAAAATAATAATATATAATTATAATATTTTTATTAAATTTTAAAATTAAATAATATCACAATTTTGTAAAATTTTACTTTAAAGAAAAGAATTTAAAACAATTTTGAATTGAAAATTTGGAACTTCAAAAAAAAATTTTTTACAGGGAAGCGAATACAACGCCAAGCTACGCAATCTGGAAGGCAAATCGGCTATTTCTAGTTCCGATCTTTTCGGCGAAAGTGACGGCTTCAAATCGGGAACTTCCAAAGGTTCTGGAAACCCTCGCAGGTCTTCATCCAATTTCTCCACGTCCTACAACAACGCTTACGACTACTACTCAACCTATAAAGACATGTTGTCCCCCGAGCTTACCAATATCAAAGACGGCGTTAAAGATGGGGTCAGCAGAATAACCGGAAGGTTGACCAACATGGCGAGCAGCGTGTTTAGTAATATTCAGGTTAAGCATTACGAGTTTTCTTGATAGAGAGGAAAGTAAAAAAAATACCAGAGTGCAAAATTGTGCGATTTGTAATCGAAAATTGGTTCTTTATTATCATTTTTACTTAAAAACAATATTCTTCTTCGCTAAAAATTGGGGATATTTATAGATATTGGGGAAATGTCTTAAATATTAATAAGTACTCCCTTAGCCTCCACCAATATTATTTATTATCAATATTGGCTTAAAGATTTTATATGATAAGAAATAATCCCAATTTTTATTTGAACAGAAATAAAATAATGACCGTCAATTTTGAGCCGAAATATTTTTATCACAATGACAATATTTTTATCATTCTTGATAACCTACATTTTCTTACTTTTAAAATAAAAATAAAAATTGAATATTAACTAAATTTTTCAAATTACTCTACCAATAAAACGGTTTAACTAACAGGACCGACCTCTTGACTTGTTTATTAAAGGAGATCGTACTCTGGGATTTTCTTAATGCATCTTTACTTACGAAAAGAAAATCATCTTTTTTTTATCATAAGGTCCTCCGCACTTTTCTCACATCATACCCCTCCACATGTTTTAAGTTTCCAAAGACTTCTACGATCATTTCTACTTATATCGAACACAAACAATTATATATTTATTTTTTCTAAAGGATCGATATAGCTAAGTCAATGAAGGTCGTCTCGAGGAACATTTATTGCTCTTGAAATTCTCAATCTTCGATTACTATGCTGAATATTTAATATCCCTTAAAAAGAGTTTGATGAAGAGGAAAAACAGAATGATAATAATTTTATATTTGTATTTTATCTTATTTATTCCTCGCATTATTTTGTAATTGATTATTATTTTTTGTTATATCATTTCATTTTAAAACCTTATATATATATTTTTTTTCCTTTTTTTTGTACTCAATTAATATATAGTAGCTGCATCTACCCAGGTAAAGTTTTAAAAAGAATTGTATCGAGATTACTGAAAGATGCTAATTGTGTACTAATTTAATTAGGTTTCAGAAATGGTATCAAAACATATGTTTTTCAAATATAATTTTTATAATCCCCGCCTTTATTAAATTTATTTACCCGTCTTATATTATTTATAAAAATATGATGAAAATTTCATAAAAAAACATTTTTAAAAACAAGTTAGTGGTGATTATGTTTAGGTTTGGGTATACAATCAAAAAACAAAATAAATTTCGGCCATTTTTATTTTGTGTGTATGTGTGAATTATAAAACTGGAAAATTTTCGAATATTTAAAAATTAATTTTTATTAGTATCTAAAAACTTGATCGTTCACGTCAATCATTAAATTTTTTAAGGTAATAGTTTCCAATGAATTAGTATGTATTATAAATTGATTTTAAAATATCGCATAACGCAATATAATTCTTAGGAATCTATATTGACAAAAGGTCATTTAACTAATATAATGTGCTACCATTCAATGTTTTATGGAATTGGCTAATAAGGAAAAATTTGTAGGCCTATCCAAATTTATAATTCTTGAAGAGAATATAAATGACTAATCCAAATCATAAAACTATATGGTGTAAACCAAGATAACTTAATGAAGCTAGTTAAGTAATCGAGAAATTTATTGTGAGATTAAGATTTTAAAAGATTATCTTCCATTCTGACCATTATTTCTCATCTAAATTATGCAATCAAATGCTCTCAGCAGCAGGAGTAATAATCTTAAATTTTATAGGCACACAAATAATAAATGCTTGTTAATTTGTAGTCATGCCCCCAAAACACTAAAATTCTTTAGAAGAAATATTTTGAAGCCTAGAGTTATTTACACGCTAAGGATGCAATATTAGAGATGAATAATTTAGTAACTAGAAAATAAGGACCAGAGTGGTATGATGAAAGTAATTAAGGTTTTATATATTGTCGAACCACCATTAGTTGGTATAATAGTAGTTTGCAATAAAATTTTACAAACTGTTTTTTAGAAAAGAAAAAATAGCTTTCCTAGAAACACGTATTAAAAAGAGTAGGAAAAAAAAGTTATATACTATGATTACATCCATTATGGGATTAATAATAAGTTAAGATGCTTACTATCTTAAGGTATTACTTATAAAATTTGTATTTTGTTTATTTTTCATTTGGATAGGAACTACCAAATATATTTATAATATATATTTGAAAAATTGTAATTTTTGGAAAGCCTCTGTGGCCTAGTTGGCAAGAGCGTCGCTTACCAATCCTATGGTCATGGGTTCGAATCCCAGCAATGATCTTGTTTTTTTTTCATAACATAACTTGGTGGTTCCGTCCTTGGGGGCATGATATCTAGGAGGCCGGACTCGACCTCGTGATTCCGTTATAATATATTAAATAATAAGGGTCTTATTCTTATTACATTTTTATAAATTTCGGTCGGTATTTAGCAGGGGCCCGGAGTGAACCGTAACGAACCGTTAAACCATTATAAACCGTTTTAAATATCAGAACCGTAACCAAACGGATATAACTATTTTTTGAAGGAGTAAAAAGAGCCTTTATAAAAAAAAGGTTTAACCGGTTCAGTTTTTATATTTTAGGGATCAAGAAATTTTAAATATCCAGAATTATATATAGTTGCATTTATAGTACTGGCGGTTCCCGCAACACAAGTTTCTGTAGAAACGGCCTTTTCGAGGCTAAAATTTCTGTTATCGTAACATCAAACAGATATGAATCCATTTATATTAGGAAATATATTACTTATAATATATTTAAAAATGAGTTATCAGAGATGCTTATAATAAAAATAAATTAGACGATGGTGTTGCTTCAATAAAAAAAAATTTCTGACCGTAATGAACCTTTATAATTAGTTGAACCGAACCGAACCTTTATTAATTTTTTCTTACGAACTGTAACCAAAACGTAACCATTGTTATTTTTTACATACTGAACCGTAACCAAACTGAATCGTTATAAATAACAATTCGGGTCCCTGGTATTTAGCAAGTTTGGTTGGTATTTAGAAAATTGCTATACGTTTACTTGGTAGTAAGCATCATTAACCTGAATAATCTATTTAATTTATAATAATATTCTTTAAATAAGTAGAAGGCGTTAAAGAGTTTAATGCAAATTATTACTTTATATTTATTGTCAAAAGCATTGATTAGTAAAATTTATTAAAATATTAACTGTAATATATACCATACCTGTCAAATATGTCTATATATGTCGCATTTTACCTAATATACAACCATTTCTATATAATAGAGGATTATCAACTAAGCCGAAACTCCAAATCAGCCATATAACAAATTCTTTATAATAGAGGATTATCAACTAAGCTGAAACTACAAATCAACCATCTTTAAGGAGATTTCCAATTATTGAAAAAATAAAATTTATTTTTGAATTTTTATTTCGCAATATTTTTTTAGCAAAAACAATACATATTATAAACAAAATAAATTAACTAGTTATAGATTAGATGATAGTATTGTTATGGCTCGTTTTACATCGGCTAACTCAATATTTAATCCAGAATACTTATACGCAAGCCTAAAGATTTTGTTTGTAGAAGGATAAAAGGTTTGGACATCCATTAGCAAAATTTCGAGGCTTAGGCAATACTTTTCTGGCTAAAATACTGAGTTAGCCTTTTTAAAAATTCGGCCCAAATGACTAGTTATAGATATAAAATTATTTTCTTAGAAAGGAAAGTAGGAGGCGTACTAATAAAGGGTAATTTTACAATTCTTTAATTTTTACATTAAAAAATGGCTTATATATTTGTTTTATCGTTGAATTCTCAATTATTTTTGAGATCTGTTATAAAGGCGTGTTTTATATTGGATTCTACTAAGGTTGGACTATTATTTAAATCAAATACTAGATAATTAAGCATTATTTGAATAAACATAATATATAAACTATTATTATATAGTTAGATAGAAATAATAATTTTGAGGATAAACAGAAATAGTTTCTATATAAATTTATAAAAATATAATCAATTTACTTAAATTTGATATATGTTTAATATTATGAAGATAAGAATATTCACATATAAATGCCAAGAAGATTTTCTTCCTGTTCTCCTTCCTATAACTTCCTGCCCGAAAAATCATTATAAAAAAATGGAATGTAAGAATAAACCTTATATTATATTATCTTACAAAATAAAAGGGTGTTAAGGCCTTAATAACGTATATTCAACATTTATATAAATCTAAAATTATTTTAAAAAATATATAGCTCTCTTTGCCTAATTTTAACGCCTATAAATCTCATTTCCTTTATTTTTCTTTTAAATTTAAATAATATCAGAATTGCTGCTTGAATTTGTTGAGAATCATATTCTATAAGATGCTGCATTTTTCTCCAATTTCATGCTAGCATACCAACACGTCTGATTAATAAAAATGGAAAGCGAATAGGGTGTTTCCAGTTCCGATCTTTTCGGCGAAAGCGACGGTTTCAAATCGGCCACTTCCGAGGTTCTGGCAACCCCCGCAGGTCTTCATCCAAATTTCTCCATCTCCTACAACAACGCTTACGATTACTACTCAACCTATAAGGACATTTTGTCCCCGGAGCTTGCCAATATCAAAGACGGCGTTAAAGATGGATTAATGATGCTTACTACCAAGTGAATGTATGGAAATATTCTAAATACCAACATAATTTGCTAAATACCGACCAAAATTTATTAAAATGTAATAAGACTTATTATTTAATATATTAATATGGAATCACGTGGGCGAGTCCGGCCTCCTATATATCATACCCCCAAGGATGGAACCACCAAGTTAGAATAAGAAAAAAAACATAATTATTATCGGGATTCGCACCCGTGACCATGGGATGAGTAAGTGAAGCTCTAACCAACTAGGCCATAGAGGCTTTCCAAAAATTACGATTTTTCAAAAATATATTATAAATATATTTGTGCCTATCCAAATGAAAAATAACAAAATTCAAATTTGATAGATGGTACCTTATAGTATCAAGCATCATTAACCTTAATGGGGTCAGCAGAATACCGAAATGTAGACCAACATGGCGAGTAGCGTGTTTAGCAATATTCAGGTTAAACATTATAAGTTTTCTTGATAGAGAGGAATGAAAAAAAATATCAGGGTGCTATATTGTGCTGGTGCGATTATGAATCGAAAATTGGTTTCTTTCGTTATCATTTTTTTTAGTTAAAAACAATTTAGAATATTAAATGGCTAAATATATTTTTTTTTATATACTATATATCCTTAAAAATCTATAAAGAAATATTGATAAGCTTTAATTTCAATTGAGTTTTTTTTTTTAAAAAAAAATTTATATAAATGGGGGGGGGGGGATGACCTAAATATTAATAAGTATATTCTCGATATTAAGGATTCTGTATGGTAAGAAATATTCCCATTTATTAGGACAGAAATAAAATAATGACTTCACGAAAATTGCTATAAATGACAATATTTTCATCATTCTGATATCCTATATTTTCTTTACTTGTAATAAAAATAAAAATTGAACAAATTTTATTTTTATAAGTATTAACTAAATTTATCAAATTACTCTACCAGTAAAAAAAAAAGCTCAAGGTTCAGTTCTTAACAGGTTTCAAGTACCAGAACCGAACCCTTGATTTATTTATTGATTTTTTCTTCACCCCTTGTACAGTGATTTACTAATTCTTACGGAAAGGAAATCATCATTTTTTATCATAAAGTCCTCCACACTCTTCATAACACCAAAAATGATTTAAGAGATTAGTTATCCCATTGGCGTACGAAGCGGGGGGGGCAGGGGGACACATCCCCCCCCCCCCAAAGCCAAAAAATGCAGATGCCGGATATATTTTTCAAAAATATTATTGTTTATATTAATTTATATTTGTTAATATTTATTCGTATCTCAAAATATATATTATATTACATTTATTATCACATTCATAAGTTATTTTATCAATTAATTTCGATTTCAAGTTTTCCGGCGTAATATTTACTTATTATTTTCAAATTTTTAGTGGCGTAATATTTATCTACCATTTTCAAATTTCTAGTCAAATAATAATTATTTCTGAAACTTCTGGTCCAACCGGGAAAAAGAAATTGCAACCTTGTCCAACGA